CCCGCCGCTCCCGAATCGGCCCCGAATCGGCCCCACCGCTCCCCAGGCACTCCCGCCGCTCCTTCTGCCGCTCCCATGGCCTTTCGGCTCCGGTCTCCTCTCAAACACAGAGCCGGGCCGGTTCTCCTCAGTCCCCCCGAGGCCGCTCGGCCGCCGGCAGGTGTCAGGCTGGCACTGGCAATGGGTGCGGGCTGTGAGCTGTGAAAGTGTGCTAAAGGCTCCTACACTGGACAGAGAGCGCGTAACAAATCCTATCGTTTGTTAAATGGGACGGTTCCCAAGTGAAATCCTTCTTTTTGATGTATTTTACACAAATCTCCTGCATCTCCGGGTGGCCGGGCTCAGCATCCTGTTTCAGAGTCACAGAGTCGCTCTGGTTGGAAGGAGCTCTGGAGATGACCCAGTCCCACCCCCTGCCCAGGCAGGGTCACCCGGCGCAGGTGACACAGCAACGCGCCCAGGTGGGTTTGAAATGTCTCCAGAGAGGGAGACCCCAGGCCCTCCCTGGGCAGCTGTTGGGCTCTGCCACCCTCCGTGGGAAGCTCAGGTGAGCGAGGGTCTCCTTCCACGTGCTCCTGGGAGGGCCAAAGCAGAGGGAGGAGGTGCAGGACCCGACAGCTCCCTGCGGGGGCCTCAAGGGCAGCGAGAAGCAAAGTCCAGCTGGTGCTCCCCGTTCCCAGCCCATTCCTAGCCTGGCAGCCTGCGGAGGCCTCGCTCACACCCTGGGAGTGATGTTCGCCAGCCCTGCAGGCACCAGCCAGGGCACAGCTCACTAGGACAGTGAACCAAAACTCCCTGCCCAGGTGAAAAGGCTCCAAGCACTGAGACCCTATGGAGAGTTCAGATGAAAAAATGGAGAGTTCAGACAAAAAAGTGGGGTTTAGAAACCTTCCTTTTTATTTTTTTCCCCACTGGTGAAACGAGGTGCAATATCAAAATTGCACAATGCAGCGAACTACGTTAGCCAATCTCTTGTTAATCACTGACTTGCATGATTCCTGTTGAACTAAGGTAATCCTGTACAGAGGGGAAATCACAGTAGCAACAAATTGACAATCTGAAATGCAAAAGGGTAGCTGCAGTAAAAACCTTGCTTAATCATGGGGTTTATTAAAACCTTCATCTATTGCTTTACTGAAAAATGCAAGGTAATAGGACATATGGAAATACCAACAATATATTTAAATGCAAGGAGTTATTACAGCTGAGAAAAATACCTTCTAAAGCTACCACTTCAGGTACCTTAGAAAGAAGATGGAATTTAATATACTATTCAACATAACATTTAGAAAACTTTAATATAAAAGGACATATAACACATGTGGAAAGTGTTTTGTGAATTTCCCAATGTTAAATATAATTATTCTGTAAACATATGTTCAACACTTCCAAATGTTTAAGCATCTCTAACTATATTTGTTTGGAATGTGAACACAAACTAAACCTAAAGGTTAAATATTTGCTCATCACGTTTATTGAATAGTTTTCTCAATATGAGTATTTTGATTAAAAAGAATCTACAAATGACATGTTAATTCTGCAGACTACCATTTTTTACTTCTTTCAGAGATGACTGGTATCTGTGGTCATTATCGTTAGTTTCTTAATTAATTCTAGAGCTGTATTAAAAAAACCTCAATTATTATAATTCTTTTTAAATTCCTTCCTGTTTCTCCTGAGCAACTCTTAATACCCAGGGCTGTTTTGCTGTGTGAACTAAGCGATACTACAGGGTCACATCCTCATATGATGTCTAGATAGTACTGAATCCCCCAGATTGTATTTTGCCTAAATACGAACAGGTCACATTTGAGCAACAGCCTTTCAGAATGTTTTTCTAGACTAGCTGAACATTTCTTGACAGCTGGACAGGCAGTGTAGCAGTATTAAGATGTGCCTCAAACTCGAGAAAATTAAGATTAGAAGGGACAATTGCCACATGGCCTGACCTCCTCTAAGTCTCACCAGCAACTTCTGCATCAAATCCAAGTTTTTGACTGACACTATCTCAAAGGCATTCAACCTTGCTCATAAGTGACTGCAAGAGAGCATCTACTACCTCTATGGATGTGCTGTTCAGTAGATGATTACCTGGTTAGAATTTGCACCTTGCAAATTTTACTTGTACTCTCAGCTTCCAGAGACTGGCTTCTGTTGTATCCAACAGATTGAAGAGCTGCCTACTATATAAAAATCATTCCTCAGTGACCACAACCAGTGCTCCATGACTGAGTCACAGCTAAAGAGAAGTTGAGCTTCTCTTTCTCATTTTTTAAATAAAGTCTCATCCTCCTTAAAACGTGGGTAGTCTATAACTCTGGTACTTGTCTTGCAAATGTATAAATAAATATAAAGGGGGTAATACCCACTTTGTGTTTCCATTCAATATTCCCTTGCTGTGAAATTGAGTGTGAGGTTTGTTTGGCTACAGCCCCACTGCACACAGCTCAGGTAGTCTTGCTTTGGTCTGGGTGCAGCCAAACCTGGCTGAGAGAGATGGGTGTCAGTGCAATGGGGTAAAGACAGGGACCACTCTGCCAGAGGGTGTAGTGCACCTGTGCTCCCCAGTTCATAAATCCGTGTCCTGCAGAGTCCCCTGCTTCCTCTCGCTGAACCTGGACTGACACAACAACTGGACCCCATAGAATTTTCGTTGATAGAACAGCTGGGCATTGTTTTAGGACTCAGGGAAGCATGTAAGTAGTGGTATTCATTTCATGTGCTTCAGAGACTGACAGGATAGCCATGCCCTTCCTGAGCTTCTTGGGAGATCATACTAATGATTTTGCCGTAATGATCTCAACACCTGTTTCTTTAAAAAAGATTGCAATTCACAGATATATATATTATGCCTGTAAAACTCATATAACTTTTTCCTCTCCCCTCCACCTCTGCACTATTTCTTCTGTTCACACAAACGTGAGAGAGCTCAATATTTCCAAAAATCAAGACCAAGCTACCTCACAATAAAGACTTGAGGTTAATATGTTTGAGATTAAAGCTCAGTAATTTTCTCCTAAGATGTGCACACACTTCTCTTCTGCCCCCTCACTGGCACTCTTTAAAGCTCTCAAGCCCTCTGCAGCTATTTTATAAAACAAGATTCTCAATCTGTCATCAGACTTTCCCTTTCTCATACCTCTTCTATTCCGTACTTACAGATTGTTTGATGCAGTGATGTTCTTTAGGAACTATTTCTCTCCAGTCTCAACTGCTATAAATCAGAGAGAAAAGAGTTCCCATTTTCTTTTCAAATTCCCTCTCTACTGTGTGAAAACTTAAGAGCTGCTCTTAACAATTGTATAATCTGGCTCCAAATCCACCAAAACATTTTTTCTTAAAGATGCTGTGAAAAGATGCTTCGAATTAACTCAAAGTCTGTTTTTCTACATCAGTTAATGAGAAACATCCAATAAGGAACATACAAGCCTGGTGTAATATGAAGAATTAACTGTCAGGATTTTGCAATGCATGTTGTGATAAAACATACATTTTGTGTCTTCTGGGGTGAGAGATTATATGGATACATAGTCTGTGCACAGATGGACTTCATAACTTGTCTGTTCATTAGATTATTTTCCTCAATAATATTTCCTCCAACCCAGATGCTTCCTACCATCTTGGCCTGCATCACAAATACTTCAAAAATCTTTAAAATACCATAATTAGGAAGGAGGTTTATGTAAAGCTATTGAAAGGATGTAATAATATAACTGAACTGCATTTTAAAGTGCATTTATTTTAATGTCTAATTATTCTACCTGGTGTAAGGTTGAAGTGGAAATTTTAAAATCCGTTTTTTTAATGTAGTCTTTGATATCATTTGTATCCTCAATCATTCTTCCTTCACACAAAAGAATTTGGTTCTTTTCAGACCTTGATTGATTAAAAAGCTCCCAGTTGGTTATGTAAGAACAGCACATGGAACACACGGCAGGAGTTGCTGGCAGCACATTACTGACTAACAGAGTGAGAGACCTTTCAGACATTTCTGAAGCTCTGTGTAGGATTCTTTATGGCAACTGTAAAATGTGTTTTAGGAGTAAGTGCTAACAGCTCTCACCAGAGCAGCTGAACTTAAAGTCTTAATCTTTTATTCAAAAGTATGAGTGAACTCCAAGAAAGGGACAGGGGGAGGTACACAGGAAAAGGAATTCAAAATTACTGCTAAAATTTTAAATTAGAGCTAGAATAGCATGGGGCAGAGAGAGTTCTCGCCTGCCTTGCCTAAGCAGACATGATTGTCGTACCAGATATATCCATACCACAAAAAATTAAAGGTTCAGAGGAACTTCTAAAGGACAGAGAATATCCATGGGAAATTAAATGACTCCAGTAGAGCTGTGCTGATGAGGATACAGCTGAAGGAATTGAAAGAGAATTTCACTTACACTTAGTTTTGCTGCACACAATACCATACTACCTGGAATATATTTTTTTTCCCCTCTTTAATCTGCATACTGCCAAATCAGACATTTTAGAGAACTGCTAGTAAGAGATAAAAATATGTTTCCTTAGTATAATACAACTGAAAGAAAGAGCTGAAAAGCCTACATTTGAAGCTCAGATATATTTGGTAAGGTTTTGTAAGCCTAACCCTCCTTTTTTTTAACCTCATAAAGTGGAAAAAAGTTTGCCAGCAAAGAAGAGAAATGTGGAAAACAGTGGAGTTATTGCCACAGCTTATTGAAATAAACAGTCTTCCAAGTCAATCATATCTGTAGTCAGTATTTTAGTGCAGGAGCTGCAGAATCACATTTTTATGTCCCTCTTACCCAAGGGAGCATTTTCTTTCCCATTGTTCAAATGAAATTTGCTGACACCTAAAAAATGCATGCAAATGTTCAAAGTAATTTTAGGGTTTGACCTTATAGAAGGTCCATATAGACTGTGGAACAGAACCCAGAATTATTCCATACACATAAACACAGTAAAGTTTGGAAATAAACAGGAGTATTGCTTTTTCTCCTTAGCAACTGGATAGACTGGACTGCCTGGTCTGAATTTAGTTACTTTTCTGTGTTTCCAACAGTTTGAGAGGATATTAACTGCACAGTGTAGGTCAATCAATTCAAGAATGTTTTCCTACCTGATCTCTTTCAAATCTGCAGGATAATGATCCTCTACATGAACCATGACCTACACTGCTTTCAGTTATTCAACTACATTTTATCAACATTATTCAGTTGTTCAGAGGCAAAACCCTTAAAAATTAAAGTTAATAGAAGTAATTACCTATCTCTGAATTAGAAAAATAATCCATCTCATTCTTTGCTGTTGTGCCTGAACTCTGCCATTTGGCAGGGGATGTGCTACACAGACACCCGACCCTTCGGTGCCAGTTCAGACCACGATACAAACTGAACAGAGCCATTAACCAAAATGCTATCCATCATTTCATCTTCAAAAATATTTTTAAGCTGCCAAATATTATAAATATTGTTCCAGTCGCTGCATTGATTTAAAGCCACTGAGTAATCATAACTGTGTACTCCCTGAGGATGTTCCAGGAAATTATAAACTAGAACCAATTTCCTCTCTAATATAGTTGTGGAAATTCAGGTCAGGTAGCCACTGACCTCATTGTCTGAAATTCTGCAATCTCCACAGCAAAAACATACCATGTGTACATAGCAACAACACTGCTACTTCATGCTGATTCCTCTAATGTACATAAATTAAATTCAACCCATCTTATTTTTCATAGAAATTATTGTATTAGCTAAGCACAACAGTATCCACAGTTCTACGTTTTCCCCCCTGTTGGCCCTCTTGTAGAATATTACGATAGAGAAAATACAAAACATGGCAGATATAGGTACATTTGTTTTTACTTATTGACTCTTTTTAAAACTTTCATCTGTACAAACTTATTTTAAGTACATATTATAAAATCTTAAAATCCTTACCAGTTCAAAAAAATCCTGTGAGTCTTGCCAAAAGCTTCTGTAAATATACAGAGAAAAGAAAGCCAGGATTCTTCAATATTATAAACTATATAATAAATAGCTGAGAATATTTTGTGATTTACAAATATGAGATTTACTAAGTCACTGTGATGTACATAATTTTCTTAAGATGGACAGATATTGTAGCTTCATGATGAAGCATGAAGAGTACAGTACACTTCAGAACTGGCCTGAGTAAAGAGTCTTCCATTTAGTTAGCAGTTTCTCTGGTACCATCCAAGACAGCAAGACATGTTACCAAAATTATTTCTGCCTCGAATTCAATCACTCATTTTGGCATTATTTCTTCAGGATAGGAAGAAGAAATGACCATCCTGAATGCATGTCAAAATGGACTACAAATTAAGAGATGAAAAAACAACCTTGATTTCCCCACACCTCTGGATAAATCTCAACATTTTACTCCACTTTGTTCTCCTCACAGTCATTTACTTTTATGGCCTCTTTTGCCAGAGAGACAAACAATCTCTGTTGATTTATCTAGTCACCTCTGGAAAACATTAATATTGATAGAGTGAAAACATGTCAAGCAGGTTCCTTTCCACATAAGGAATTTTCCCCTGAATTATGGAAATGCAGAAGAGGAGAAATAGAAACGCTGGGCTTTTCATGTTTATTTCTAAGTTGTTAAGGAAGGGAGGAACACATTTTCTGTCAATTACACTTGAGAAAGCCCAGTTGGTTCCATTCTGGCATGCAAATATTAGTGGCAGCAGTGGCTTTGTTCTTATCTATTCATTCAGTCCAGAGCAGATGAAATGGCTGTGCCATGCACATTCCAGAGGAATCTGTGCCATGGCTGCAAGAGGCAGGGTGCTGAGAAATCTCACCCAGCACTGCCTGCTCTGCAGGTGCCACTCCTAATCAAGACCCTGTTGCTAAATAAAAATGCCTAATAATGGGCTTCTGGTTAGCTTTTTAACATTCAGACACAGATTAATATCTTTTTGCTACCAACTTCTTTTTTGTTGGTTGGGTTTTTTTTACAAAATGTTTAGAATTTATATTTGAATTTTTTAAAAGTAGTTTCCAGATAGAAATAGATGGAAAGCCTGACTGTTTTACTGTAATTGCAGGGAGTTCTCTTTAGCCTCATCTCTTTCAAAAAAATATTTATAAATAATATCTATACTATATTAATAAATGTAGTTGTAATATGAATCACAATGTCCAACAGTAGGTGGCACATATATTATGTGCAGTGTGAGTATTTCACCGTCTTTCTTTCTCATTTAATCTCACAATGAGTTTAAAAACATTTACAGCACAATTGATGAAAAGCAAATACTCCACATAATTTAAGGGGATAATTATTTTTAATTCTAAATTGCTACATTTAGGATGAACAGAATAAACAGCAAGCAAGCATTTCAGGAAATATTTGGCTATAAAAAATTATCTGGCAAAACATGGTGACAGCAGATACATTACAAATGCATAATTTAAAAATTAACAGAACTTACATGTTTTGATTCTTTCTTGACTCACTTTTGATCAGCTATTTCAAATAGGTAGATGTAACTAGGCTGACAATTATAATCTCAGCCTCCACAATTTCAAGTGGAATAGAATCTTCACATGGGAACAAAAATGAAGCCAGAAATAAAAACTAATAAAATCAGTTCCTGTGAACACTAGATATCAGACTTTTCTTATTTCTCCTATGAAATATTTTATTGGGGAAATTGAGGTCTCAGGATGGAATATTCAAATATCTTTTGGTATCAGAAAGTCTCAGATCTGCTTCACAGAAACCCTCACATTTATTTATTGCATACTCAGTGTTCTACCTGTTGCATCAAGGGCTTTGATTCCTTTGTGCCTGTGATGTCTGGTCTATTCCATGAAAAAGAAATGCTTTCAGACATGCTGGATTTCTAGGTTTCAGGAGCACTTTATCACTTAAAACTTGGAAGAAAAAGACAAGAGGTGGGATTTCTTGTCAAACACTATGATTCTAATACTGGAAATATGTGAGTTCTTTATACTTTTCTTCAGAATGCTGATTTAGTGAAAATAATCTGACAGGTTTGAATATTTGAAAATCAGTTAAATATGTGAAAACATTCACTTCAAAATAAACAGCATAAATAGTGAAAAAGTAAACAGTACAGGCATTAATAACCTTATTTTTTCCTATCCTACCATAATTTACATGTTCTAATGTAAATTAATGTCAATTTTGCAATAAAAATACCAACTTCAGTGCCATAAGTGGTATGACATTCCAAGAGTAGAAAGTATAATCAGCTGGAGGTTTTTTTCCTTCCCAGTGATGATTAGGTTTAAAGTATAACATTCCTTCACTATGTTCTAAACTACTCAAAGACCAAGTTCCAGGGCCAGCAGCCTTTGAATTGGGGAGTAAGATCAGCTTTGAGCAGAATAATTCTCAGGTCTTGTGCTATAATCATCATTCTTCAAACCAGAAATTTGCTGCAGAAATGTTATCAGAGGTTTCAATATAGCTCAGCAAATCTTTCAGGGAGAAAGAATGATGTGACTTGAACATGAATATAGCAGTCTGAAACACATAATTGGCTGCTGGACCATTACCATAACAATTATTAATGACACAACAGTAACTAGGAGGAAATGTCTGGATATGTGCTATCAGAGTCACCAACAGTAGATCTCCTTCAATAAATATTTAATATTTTAATTTTAATTATGATTTACTATTTGATTTAATATTTAATTAACATAATTAATATTTATGAAGACTGGAAAGAGCTGTCTTGTGCCTTGATCAAATATGCAGGTGATCTAAATCTCTGTGGAGGAAAAGGATATGGCACTTGGTGCAACTGAATTGTGGTGACAGGGAAGCACTAGGAAGAAATTTCTGCAATGTCTGTAAATATAGATGTGTGTATGTCTAGATCATTATGAACTCCCTGTTTGTTCACACACCTACATACCTATATGCATGCACAATTTAAATGTTAAAATACAGCATTGGCACAAGTTGACCCTAATTACAGTATAAAGACTCTTGAGCAGAGAATTCTGCCTAAACAAATGAGGTAATGTAAGCGAAATAAAAAGACTGGGGGCTTAATTCCAAAGCACTACTGGGAAAAACATCTCACTGATTCCACTTAGAATCTACGCAGTCCAGACACTGAAGGGATGTTTGTAGGCATAGTGAGGGTGGAGCAAAAGACAGAAAGATAAGAGAGACAGGAAATAAAGGCATCCTAACTGAGAAGCAAGACAAAAAAGGATGTAACTTTTTTTTTTTTTTTCGTCCAGTAAGTATCAAGTAACAAAATAAGAAGATTAACTAGAAGAAACAACAAGCAGATTTTTCAGAAGTTTCAGACTTCAGGCAAAGGCTTGATGAGTCCCTAGAAAAAAACCAGACTAAAATATAAATAATGTTTGTTTGTCTTCAACCTAGACCTCAGAAAACCAAAATAACCACTGGGAGTGGATAAGGATCTTGTAACTCAGTAACAGTACGAACAACAATATCAAGCAACCAGCCATTAATGTAACACAGTTAAAAATATATATATATATATTTGAATATACATAAGTACTGTAAAATGGGCATACAGAGATTTATGGCACAACTGCACAAATAGTGTAGAGGAAAACTTCTGCAAGCAGTAAAATCTGCACAAAAGAGAAAGCATGTAGAGCAGGCAGGAAAGATGTCCAGGGAAATCAAAGTAATCCTGCAGAAAAAGCAGAAATTGTCTCATAAAACCAAAGTGATCCTGCAGAGTAAGCAAGAAATATGCCTGGCAAAAGCCAGAATTCCAAGACAACAAAGTAAAAGGAACTATTACAAGATGCTGTGGGAAACATAAAGCACTAAGGACAGGCAAACAACTGCAGGGGTCAAAAAAAAAATCCTCCTTCAGTTCCAGCTTTTCTAGCTGAAGAGCTCTCACCTCTGAGCACCCTGATTTCTGCAAGTGAGACCATCAAGGACTATCAGTGCTGACTGTATGGGATGGGGCCATGGGCTTTTTTACACTGATATTTTATGGGAAAGTTAAGGAGTCATACACTGAACATGTGTTGATAATGATTGACAGCAATTAAAAACTAATCACTGGCCATGTGCATTGTATTGCTACTGGATATCAATGTAATAAAATGTTGCTTTGAAATTGGCCTTATTTATTAGCTGTCTATAAACATTCCCTTTACCGTGGCCTCTAATCCCCTAATACATGCAAAGATATAATGTGTATATACACACACATGCATACATTCTGTTGGAACATTTTTCCTATTTACCTCCAAAAACAACATTTTGTCATGGCTGGAAAAAAATCCCAAGGAAATTGTCACTAGGTTTAAATAGTTAGTTAGAAGTTTTTAAAGCTAATTATAAAAGTTTTTTTCAATTTTGCATCAAAGAATCATCTGGACAAGGACAAGAAGCTCTGGAAATTGAATATTATCAGAATGACTAATTCAGCACCACTTAAGGCAGGTGGACAAGTAAGAGCTCTGTTCTTCAGAAATATGAACCTAGTTTTAAAACAATGACTCCTAACTCCACCATAGCAAACTAAGTTGCATCTGTAACTGAAAAAGTAAATGCAGAAACATACAGATGAAATGTTGTTAGCAACAATATTATGAAAATAGTGTCTTTAGTTTGCTTTTTTTTAAGTGGGTCAGTGTGTTGCCAAGATAATGTTTAGTCCCAACCTGAGCTGAGTTAAACTCACAGAATATGACATTTGTTCCTTGTTGAAAGGTAACAGGAGCAGATGTCCTAACGCTCTGTGCATGCCCTGTAGCAGTATGAGGAGGACATAGGTTATGTGTAGCAATTGCTGGTTTTCTTCAGAAAGGGGTTTTTCTGTTTGCTCAGAAACAGAGCAGGCAGCATCCATTGGAAGGCAGGGCTTTGTTCATAGCCCCTGAATGTGACCTTAATTTACCATCAGCGGTGTGTTCAAGTTGTTTTTCATGCTCCTAAAAAAATACATGTTAATCCCTGTCTGGAAGTGTCAAAATATCTTTATTTGCTTCAGAACACATACATTTCTACAGTTAACATTTTTAAGGTCAGTCTGACAACCATAAAAGGAACTTGGTGAATACTTAATAATATCTTCTGTTCTCCCTTGAGCTGACAGTTAAACGAATGGATTAATCTCATCTGCTACATATTGTTGGCTTTCACCCTTAATGATCAAAGGATAGCTGTTAGCTGCAAGAGTTTTGTGCTGTTCCCATTGTTTAACTTATTCTAAGAAAATAAAAGAGATGGGGAGCATATCATGTATTTAACATAAAAAAGGTAAGTAGAAGATGTGTATAATATTGTACAGAAAAACAGAGAAACAAACATAAGAGTAAAAAGGCTTGCTTCAATCCTCCTCAAACGTTATACAAGATCTAGTCTCTACCCATAATGAAAAAGGCTATGAAATATCCCTCTCCAAATTCATCGATTTGCATGTCTCACCAGCTAAATCAGCGTATGGTCCTAACCAAAATCCATCAGAAGCTGCAACCTGAATCTGTTCCAAAAGTCCTGCTCATGACTGGCATGAATACTTAGGAATACTGTAATATTTATTTATAACCTTAAATTCATGCTCATAGCACCATGGGGTTAGATGCTCTGAATTTTATATTATCAAGTCCAAAGCTGTTTCTAGTGCTAGAAGCAGACATTCATTTCAATATTAGCACTCTGCAACTTCACTCCAGGACTTGGGAAAAAAAATAAATTATTTCATCTACTGTCATGGTTTAATTTAAGAGGCAGACACTCTGAAATAGGTTAGCTCCCCTTTTAGTTTTACCCATTCCCTTTTCACCAATAAGAGGAGGCAAATGCGAGTAGATGTAAGTGGGGGGAAAAAAGAAAAAAAAATAAAATAAAAAGAAGCCAAAAAAACCCCACGAAACATCAACAGGCAAAAATTCACTGATAATCAGTAGTTACAAAATTACTGAAATCTGCCGGACTGCCCAGGGCCAAGGAGGAAAATGGCGACAACCCCCTCCCAAGATGGCGCCCTCGTGTGGGAAGTCAGAGGGAAAAGGGCGGGCAAACTCCACCGGACTCATCCTTTCCCCGGAACAGAAAACCGGGAAGGCAGGGGCTTGTGGAAATCTCTGGCACTTCCTGGGAGCTGGGGCCTCTCGGTGTGAGCCTCCCTGCGTCCCTGCGGTGCCCACAGCGGTGTCTAGGGGGGTCAGCGCTGCCCTCTCAGCGCGGTCGGTGCGGCCGTTCCTGAACCCTTGGGGTGTTGTGGGGGGAGAGAAACGGAAGGGCCTCCCCAGACACCAAAAATGGCCCCAACCGGCTGTGGCTTCGTGCTGCCCACGGGCCTTGTGCAATTCCCCCGAAACACCGTGGGCTGGGCAATGCAGCTTCTCGGGCTGCTGCTGTTGCCGCTCCAAAGAAGCCCAAAGCAAGGCCCTCTCAGAGAGAAGCAAGAGAAGCGTGGGCCTTGTGCTGCCACAGCTCTGCCGGCACGGGGGAAACGGGGGACAGCGCAGCCTCAGGGCCCTTAAAGAACATATAAACGCATTTCATAAGATGTGGCTCTGCAAAAATGTGCTGTGCATGTTACGTCTAAAGATGTCTTCAAATAAACTGGTTGTCAGTGCAAGAAATAAATTTTATTTCTTAATTTGTTTCCTACAAAAATGTCTTACACCATTTGGGTACTGGAAAAAATTCCATCAAGTATGTCACTTCTGAAACAAGGAAAATTTATTTGCTTACAAATTCTAACATATTTTAAAAGTTCAGCTTGCAAAAATTGAACCAAAACAAAGCTTTACTTGAGTAACAAAGAAGAAGACTTTTTACGAAGAAGACTTTCAGTGGATATCATAGTACATTTAGTTAGCATTACTTTTGCTACTTTAATAGCTCTAAGTTCTACATCCTATTTATGAACAATTTTACTAACATTCTTACAGTTTATACTTAAAATGAAAACTTCTTAAACATCTAAAATACAGTCTGAATTTGGATAGGTAAAATATACAATGAACAAATATAAAATAAACTACAAATATATAATATAAAATATAACAATGAACAAATGAATTCTACTCTATTGCTTGGCTGCAGCCCTAGGCACATTTAGTTAGCATTACATTTGTTTCTTTAATAGCTCTACATCCTATTTATGAACAATTTTACTAATATTCTTATAATTTATACTTAAAACTTCCTAAACATTTAAAATACAATTTAAAATACAATTTTACTAATATTCTTATAATTTATACTTAAAACTTCCTAAACATTTAAAATACAATCTGGTTTTGGAAACATTACATTTTCTGCTTTAATAGCACTACTTCCTATTTATGAATAATTTAATTTATATTCCTATACTCTATACTTAAAAATTCTTAAGCATCTAGAATATAATCTGGTTTTGGGAAGGTCAAAACATACACCCTAAGGATGAATACTAGTGTATTCCCTGGATGCAGCTCTGTCCAATAGTTTCTTGTGGGAAGGGCTTGGCAGATGCATCGATCATCTCTTTCATCCCCTCCTCCATTGAATTCTTCATGTTCTTCCACAGATCCAGAGACCTGATTTGATCCAGCTTGTCACCGCAGTCTGCTGTGCCATGCATCCTATTCCTCCTCCTCCTCCTCCTCCTTCTCTTCCTTCTGGGCACTGCTGGAATTTCTGCACAGGCTGAGCTCTTGCAGGCAGAGCG